CACTTATTAATGTTGTAAACTTTTAATACATTGGTAGTTTTCATATTTTAGTGCTTAAACGTTTCATTTGGGCAGAATATGTGCATATTTAAGGTATCCAGAAAGATGAAATGCATGGTAATTTTTTACACTAAAAACCAGTAGTAAGACGCTTTGGCGAATACAGTGTATTGCAAGCATCTTAGGAAGCCAAACAAGTTAAATATGTCAAAATAATAGGTAGTTCTGTGATATTTATTGACAACTTAGAATAGCTGAGCACTATTAAAAAAACATGATTGTAGCATTGTTTCATTAAATGCTTATTATTTTAAAAACATAAATTCTTTTATTTCTTTTCTGAAAAAGTGAAATTCCATATTTGTTTCATAATTTTTCCATCATTTGTTCACATTATTTCTATTTGTTTTTTTTTAATACCACAGTAGTGGAATAGAGATGTTAAGTCTGTGATTACTTTTTGTTTTGTTTTGTTTTTAAGTATAAATATTCAAAGGCTTAAAGACCCAGTCGAGAAATCAGCACTATAGTTTTCTTATTCAATCTTTAACAAAATATCATCTATCTTGAAAATTGTCTGCACTGGAAACAAAATAAGTAACAGCAAAAAACTGACTGAATGTTTATAAAATTATAGCTTCCTGTTGTGAAATTATAATTTGTTGTACTCAGAGAAAAATTGTTCTTAAAAAAAACCAAATGATTTTCTGAAAATATGTTAAGGGTCTTTAGATGTTTTACTAGCTTGATTATTTTGAAATAATTTTTTAGTTTTTCAATTATAGTTGCCATACAATATTATATTAATTTCAGATGTACAACATAGTGATTAGACATTTATGTGACTTAACAAGTGAACACCCCAATAAGTCTAGTACCCATCTGACACCATATAGTTATTACAATATTATTGACTATATCCTGTGTTAGGCTTTATATCCCTATGACTCTTTTGTAACTACCAATTTGTACTTCTTAGTCCCTTCCACTTTTCACCCACATCCCTAAACCCTCTCCTATCTGGCAACCTTCAAAATGTTCTCTGTATCTATAAGTTTGTATCTATAAATGTTCTCTGTATCTATAAGTTTGTTCTCTGTATCTATAAGTTTGTTTGCTTATTCTTTAGATTCCACATGTAAGTGAAATCATATGGCATTTGACTTTCTCTCTCTGACTTAATCCAGTCTGCACAATACCTTCTAGGTCCATCCATTTTGCAGATGGCAAGATGTCATTCTTTTATTAAATATTTTTTTATGGCTGAGTAATATTTCATTGCATATATGTTCCACCTCTGTATCCATTCATCCACTGATGGGCACTCAGGTTGCCTCCATATCTTGGCCATTGTAAATAATGCTGCAATGAACATATGATGCACATGTCCCTCTGAAGCAGTATTTTGGGTTTCTTTGGATAAATACTCAGAAGTGGGATTACTGGGTCCTACTTTATCTCTTATTATGGCTTTTGTTTTAAAGTCTTATTTCGTCTGGTATAAGTATTACTACCCTAGCTTTTTCCCCCCCCCATTTTTGTGAAATACCTTTTTCCATCCCTTTAGTTTCATTTTGTGTGTGTGTGTTTTGATCTGAAGTGAATCTCTTTTAGGCAGCATATGTAAGGACCTTATTCATTCAGCCTCCCTTTCTTTTGATTGGAGCATTTAATCCTTTCACATGTAAAGTAATTGTTGCTAGATATGAGTTGTTGCCATTTTATTATTCATATTTTTTTTTTATTTTTTTCTTCTTTTTAAAGAAATCCCTCTAACATTTCTTTTAATACTAGTTTGGTTTTTATGAACTCTTTTAGCTTTTTATCTGTCCTTAGATTCTAAATGATAGCTCTGCTGGGTAGAGTAATCTTTGTTGTAGATCCTTACTTTTCATCGTTTTGAATACTTCATTCTAGTCCCTTCTGGCCTGCAAAGTTTCCGTTTAGAAATCAGCTGACAGTCTTATGGGAGCTCCTGTGTAGGTAACTAGATGCTTTTCTCTTGCTGCTTTTAAGATTCTCTCTTTGTCTTTAAACTTTGGCATTTTAATTATGACATGACTTGGTGTGAGCCTCTTTAGGTTCATCTTGTTCGGGACTCTGCACTTCCTGGGCTTGTGTGTTTATTTCTTTTGCCAAGTTCAGGAAGTTTTATGTCATTATTTCTTCAAATAGATTTTTAATTTATTGCTCTCTTTCTTCTCCTTCTGGTGCCCCTGTGATATGAATGTTGGTATACTTGATGTTGTCCCAGAGGCTTGTCCTCATTTTTGGGATTCTTTTTTCTCATTCCTGTTCGGATTTGGTGTTTTCTGCTACCTTATCTTCTAAGTCACTGATGTGATCCTCTGCTTCATCTAATCAACTGTTGATTCCCTCTAATGTGTTCTTCTTTCAGTTATTATATTCATTTCTGACTGCTTCTTTTTTATGTTTTCTATCTCTTTGTTTAAGTTTTCACGAGTTCTTCTACTCTTCCCCTAAGTTCAATGAGCATCCTTATAACCAGTGTTTTGAACTCTGCATCTGGTAGATTGCTTATCTCCATTTTGTTTATTTTTCTGAAGTTTTGTTCTGTTATTTGGTACATGTTTCTTTGTCTCCCCATTTTTATTGCTTTCCTGTGTTTGTTTCTGTCTTTTACGTAGGGCTCCTAAGACTCCTGGTCTTAGTAGAGTAGCCTTATGTAGTAGGTGTCCTGTGGGGCCCCACTTTAGCAGGGCTCTCATGCCTGCTCACTCTGCTCTTTCAGTATGTTGTCCTTGGATGCAGCCTCAGGTGGTGCTCCAGCTTGGATCAAATGCCGGCCCCAGGGCCTCTGGGGAAGGTCCCCACCACAGGCCAAGTTCAACTGCAGCCTATGCACTGCCTGGGGCCATCTGGCAAGAGTCACCATGCACTTTGCAGATGGCCACCACCTGTGCTGGGCTTAGAGGTGCCTCGAAAGGCCAGGCCACAAACTGAGGCCAGATGCCACTAGTGCCAGGCTTAGAGCTGCTCAACAAGTTATATGGAGCATGTAGAGGCCAGATGCTGCTTGTTTGGGTTTTGTGAACCTTTGAAAGATTTTAGGAAAGTCTGCAATATGGTCCAAGACAGGTCACTTGTATGGAAAAGCCTCTGGAGGTGGTTTGGGTGGGCCCACAAGTTGGGAGGGGTGGGACCTCAGGGAATCGCCTGGGTGGGGAAACTTGTGTTAGCCAGGTTATTGGCGACTCAGCTGCCTGCCAGGAGGGAGGAGGGCCCAACAAAAGAACAATGGATTCTGCCAGCACTTCTTTCTGGGAGAAACTGCCTCTCCAGCCCTTGCCCTGAGGCCAGGCAATTTAGTTCCTCCCCATATGTCCTTGACAGTTGTTAAACAACTGCCCCAGTGCTGGAGCTCAGAGCAAGTGAGCCTGTTAGAGAGTAAGTCTGTGTGCAGGCCCTTTAAGAGGAATATCTGTAACTCCCGCAGCCCTCCGTCTCACTCAGCCACAAATTCTGCTGGTTTTCACAGCTAGAGGTGGTGGGAATTTCTCTTCCTGGCACTGGAACCCTGGGCTGGGGAACCCCATGTGGAGCTGGGACCCCTCATTCCTCTGGAGGAACCTCTGCAGCCAATATAGCCTTTCTGATTCTTGGTCACCACACACTGTTGTGGGACCAGCCCATTTCCCACCTTGGCTCCTCCTATCAGTCTTAAGATGGCCTCTTATGTGTGTCTCTAGTTGTAGGACTTTTGTTCAGCCAGACCTCAGGTGATTTCCAATGATGGTTGTTCTGTAAGTTTTGTTACAATTTTGATGTGATCATGAGAGGAGCCAAGCACAGTGTCTACCTACTATGTTATCTTGACTGAAAGTTCTTCACTAGCTTGATTTTATACCACTTCCATCAAATGGGATTTTTGTTGATGAAATGGCAAAATGAAACATCCCATACTTTGTTTAGAGGAGTCATTTTTCAAATGCTTGGAGGATATAGAATGGAAATGATCATTGTCTGATATTCTACTTATTCGTGAAATGCTTACAGAATGTATGTGGTTACTAAACATTTGTTTACTGAATATTAAGGTAAAGTACTGCCTCCTTTCAAAAGATCTTAGTGTTAAAAAGAGAATGAAGCCAAAGGGACAGGATAGAGTGGGGATGGTGTACATTCGAGGGTATGTTCAATTTGGGTTGAACTCATCTGCTTTTCAAAGCTTTTATAAGATCAGGTAAACATTAGTAGCCTAACCAGATCTGATGAGAAAAGGATTGGTAAATTATAGGTTGAGGGAGAGGGTCATAGTCAGGGGCATTACAAAACCCTATCTCATTTATAGGCTCCTGTAGATAAATATGAATGGTCTGCAAGCTGGCTTTACTCTTAATTAAAGGATGGAATCGAAAAGCTTACAACACTGACATACTGACATGAGTTTAATAACTTGAAGTTTTAGGCACTTTCCAAGTTTTATTTTAACTGTTAATTCCAAGACTGTTTTCCTTTAAAACCATCTAAAACTAGAACACTTTAATTTGTCTTCATTCTCTATATTTTTTATGTTCTGTCAAAAATCTTTATAAGTAGGAAAGTATTCCAAAAGCTGGAAGGAGCAAGCAGTATGAAAGAGCATACATTTCTAAACTGGATTATTAATCCCTGGAAAATTCAAATTTTTTAGGCTTCATTCAGAAGGACAAGGCTAGAAGGTAACTTTAGTCATAAGGCTAGAATTTCTTAGGGAAATTATAACTTTAGATCATTTAATTCTTCACAAAATCTATTAGCGACTCATATTTTGCCACATTGACTAGAATATTGCATGCTCATAAAATTATATTTATCATGCTGAAGATAACATTTACGGAGTGAATATTAGATTCCAGCACTCTTCAGGGATTAGCATGCATTAACCCTCAAAGTTTATAAAGACATCTCTGTCAAATTATCCATTTATTGGGCCTATATTCACATTATTTTTTGCACTTGAGATATTTGTTTTATTTTCATCATTTCTTCTCTTTCAGCTCTTCTTTATGCAACTATTTTTGGAAATGTTACCACAATTTTCCAGCAAATGTATGCCAATACCAACCGATACCATGAGATGCTGAATAATGTACGGGACTTTCTGAAACTCTATCAGGTCCCCAAAGGCCTTAGTGAACGAGTCATGGATTATATTGTCTCAACATGGTCCATGTCAAAAGGCATCGACACAGAGAAGGTATGGATTATTACTGTTGTTATTTATTTTCTATTTCAATAGGATCTTCAGATGCCTGGAGTTTTCTCACTCACATATTACTTGTATAATTACTTCATAAATGTTACTCTGTATTTCATAAGTGACATATCAATCAATCATGTTACTGAGTGCTTAGAAGGTACAAAGCACTCAACCATTAACTATAAATTAGTACTAGTCATCACACTCAATTTAGAAATTGTAGTTCCTGAAAACAACTAATTACTTAATTTCCATAAAACACTCTCATTACCAGTCAGAATAATCTGCTGCATTCCTCTAAAACTCTAACAATGCTGCCGTTTCTCCTGGTATATTTTATTCTTGATTTCTCTTTTGACTTTTTGACCATTTAGAAAGAAACTACCTTGCTTATACACTAAAAAAATTATATGTCTGCTATCCTCCACTTAAATCTCTCCCTTTTCTAAACACAAGACTTTTAGAAAAAAACAATCATGATTTATTTTACTTTGTAAGCACCAGTGAAGGGTATTATTTTTAGGTACTGATTTTTGACATATGTAATAATCAGACAGCACATTGCTTTCCTTGCCATTTCCCACAAATTTTATTTGTTTTATTAATCATATGAGTTGACTGGTAGTTTTTCTATAAGA